AGAAATTGAATTTTTATTATCATAGGTAGTTTTAATTTTCCTCATTATAAAAGTTTGATCTTATTTTCAATAATGTGAAGAAATTTTAAATTGACTGCCCCAATTTTTTACAAATTCTAAATTGTTTCAATTCAAAAATAAATATAGAAGACCTGTATTTCATTCAATTTTAAAGAAGTGGTATACGAAAATGAGAAGCTTGAAAAATGATTGCCTGTTGAAAATTGATTTTTCACCTTTAAAACTAATTACTTGTATCGAGTTTTAGTTAATGTATTTATCTAAGAAGAAACTTTTTAACTCTGAACTAAAATTTAAGGCAAGTAAGCATTCCCTAATTACTAAAAGGGTTTGTTTTTTAAAAATCTTAAAATAATACTGTGCAGACAAAGAAATAGCTGTTAATAATTCAATAATGTTTGAAAATAAAAAGGCTAAATATGTGTTTCAGAAAAATTGCTTGATAAAAAAAAGAGAAATAATGGTGAAAAATGACATTTTTAATGACATATTTCTAGTAAAACATATTTCTAGAAAGCTTGATATCTAGTGCAGCTTATCTGAGCTAAAATTTGAAGCGATGAATCACTAATAGAATACTAGAAGTGTTTATCGAAAATCATAAATTGATGTTACACAGAATAAAGATTTGTAAAACATTTCTAATATGTTTGTTACATCTGTTAAAAAAAATTTTAGACCTTGATATAAAATGATTTTTAGGCAAAATGGACTTAGGCTTCAAGCATTCAAATGGCTGATTATAATTATGGTTGATTGTGTTGCACTGTTTTATTATACAGTATACTGTTTTGTTGAAAAATATATATATATATTCATCTTTTAATTTTAAAAAAAAACTTTTGATGATTAACAAGAGTTAGATTGAGTACTGAACCAATAATTCTATTTACAACCTACTCTGAAATAAGTTTTATAAAATTCTCTATTGCCCAATAACATATTTAATATTTAGTTCAATAACATAATGATGCAGCTATGCTTAAGTAGCAGTTCTATTCTTTAATTTATACTGAACTGGATCTAAATTTGTATAATTGTTAAAAATATTTCTAGGTAGCTTTTCAAGCAATGTGTGTTTAAAACTTATATCAGCTGCCTTGAAATGGTCAAAATAATAAAATGAATTTTGCATGTGAATGTTAAGAGCAATTGTTTTTGTTATAGAGATAATTTCCGACTAAGTTTTCTATAGATTTTTTTTTAAGCCAGTGATCCAGCTGCTGTGTTTTAAACCATTAGATATGTCACCAAATAAGTTGATTTGATTAAACTAAAGAAAATATGTATTAGACCTGGCTTTTAAATTAAATTGTAGCATTCATATAGCATTGTTATATTATTTTTTTAATATAAGTATAGTTTCTCAAGTTTTTTACTTACAATGTAAATAACATTCTTTTCAACAAAAGAAATGAAAATTAGCTTTTTACGAAAAATATTTTTAAGATTATATTTAGTAGTAAAATATCAAAGTTTCTTAATCTTTTTTTTTCACATTTTATTGACCATTATACTATTCATCATAAAAATAAAATATTTTGTTAGCATATAAATAAATATTGAACAATGACTTCTGCCAACAGATATTTAGAACGAATTATTATATTTTTTTCAAAATTTTTTTTTAATTTGAAATCGGACAATTTCGGTCTTTATCTTAACAAATTAATTTTGACAACTTGATTTAGCTAAATTGGAAATTGCTAAGATTTCCAAGTGCTTTTTCCATGAAACGTCTTTGCATTTTTCGAGAGAAAGCCCTTGGAATGTACTATTCTCCAAACCACAGCTTGTTCCTGCCTCACCTTGGGCGGCTGCAGTGACAACTTTCAGATTTCTAAGAGGACATAATTATCTTAGTGCCCATCTTTTTCCTTTAAAACATTGTCGTCTCTTCTACATCATTTGGACGAGTGCCCTATACTATCTTTCTCTAATCAGGTATAAAAGTATTGGAGAGCACATACTCTAATGGCCAAAGGTCTACTATTTCATAATTCATGTCATAATTCATTCAAATTCATGTGAGTGTTAAGCTTCAATAAAAATAACTATGATTTTCTTTTATTCAGTGATTAGTTTTTAATAATTTTTACCATTTTAGTTTGAAACAATTAGTATTTTGGTTATAATATTATTTTCACATAATATTGTTTTTAAATTATATTAATTATTACCATTGCATTTTATCAGAGTTTTGATTGGTAATTGTAGAGATAAAAAAATGCAGGTTCTTTTTAAATGTATTTGAGTTGAGATATCACTAACAAATTCAAATTTTGGTGAATTGTTATTTTGTTTTTAAAAATATCTTTAATAGCTTTACCTTAACAAATAACTTATATCTTCTTTATTTTCAGTGTGTCACATTATTTGAACTATATTTTGTGTTATATAAGAATTTTATACCAAATTTATTTATTGGCGTATTTTTTAATTTAATAGTTAAAAGACTTAATTTTTATACCCTTAACAACGGCAAGCCTTTCCATTATCTGGCTGGATTTAATGAACGTATATAAGAATGGAATGCATCTGAATATACAATATACAATCAAACCTTCTTTAACAATCACCTCTAAACAGCAACCTCTGTTGAGTGTCTTTCGAATGTCTTCCATAAGATTTAAGTTAAGAATAACCTTAGAACAATGATTTCCATACAACGACCACACATTGATATCACAAATTATGTTCCAGGTATATCTTAGTAAATGTTTCTTATTATTTAGCATATATTACCTCAACTCTCATCACATTGCAATCCAGTGCTTTTTTTTAATTATTTTTTTTTAAAGAATTTTAAACTATTCATATGGAAATCATATAAACTTATAATAACAGTCGTTCAAAAGTCGACCCAATTTAGGGTTTACGGCTACTGATGATTAACTCTATAACCTTGTAATTTTGAACCCAATCCAGAAAACAAAGGTACTCATAAATCAAGTATTGGGAGAAATTTGCCTTTAATAAGGACTTTTTGATAGAACTAGTCTGTATTTGCGTTACATAGAAGGGAAAACCTCCCATGTTTAACCTGACCGCAAAGGGACTCTAACCCGCAATCTGTCTACCACTGGGGATATTTTACGTCAAGACTGCATTGACAGCGATCGCTGGGATTCGAACCCGGTTCAACTCATTGGAGGGCGAACACTGTATAGAAGTCAATCATAGAAATGATTTGACTGTTCACTTTGGCCTATTACCGAAAGCATGAATACTAATAATCAACTCTATAACCTTGTAATTTTGAACCCACTCCAGAAAACAAAGGTACTCATGGATCAAGTATTGGGAGAAATTTGCCTTCAATAAGGACTTTTTGATATAACTAGTCCGTATTTGCGTTACATAGAAGAGAAAACCTCCCACGTTTAGCCTGACCGCAAAGGGACTCTAACCCGCAATCCGTCTACCACTGGGGATATTTTACATCAAGATTGTGCATCGACGGCGATCGCTGGGATTCGAATACCCCAAGCGAACGCTGTACAGAAGTCAATCATAGAAATGATTTGACTGTTCACTTTGGCCTATTACCGAAAGCATGAATCAGCATTAATAAAGGGTAACAATCCTCAATGCGCCATCTATCAGCTTTTATTTTATGCTGGAAAAGTTATCCCAGCAAGAAGTAACCTCTGCTTGCATTATACAAAAATAACCACTTTTTCTTTCTTCTTTTTTTCTAAGTTCGCCAGTAAATTAGCCTATGTTCAAAATTCTTACTGAAAGGCAAAACTTAATAATTTTTTATGATTGATTTTTTTTTTCCATAAAAATCTTCGAATCAGAATGCAAATTTACTATAAATTGAATTATTTAACAAAAGGCAAATTCAAATCAAGTGTCAGTTTGCTGTTGGAGAGGAGTAAATGAGCAATGAATGGGAAAGAAATTGAATAGTTTAGGGTTAATTCTTGATAACTTCTTAGAATAGAGCAGCAATATAAAGATAAACTTAAGGCAACATTATGTTATAAAGTTATTGTCACAAAAAAGAATTATTTTCTGAAAAAATAGTTAGATGATAATGTGCCATCTTGCAACCAGTTAATCTGTTTTATTGACATTAACTGCACGAAAGAATTTCATCCTGCGATTTCGGGCTACTAACTTATTAATCTGTATTTTATGGTAGTTTGTCTCATGCTTGCATTTTCTGAACTTAATCTAATTCTAATTGGAAATGCGATGTTTCTAACAGAAATGACTGTAATCAAATGAAAAATATAGGATTTATTCAAAAAAAATTCCTTTTGACCTTGTTTTATGATACAGAGGAATATATGTATTTGAAGAAAAAATCATTTTCCAATACATGTGACAAAACACAAATTTTTTCATTGAATTTTGGTGCCGTGGCGAATGCATACCACCATACCTGGTTAAGTAACGTTAAGTGAAGGAACATATAAAAATATTGCCATTAAATACTGACAGCCTGGGCAACAAAATTACATGAATTTATAGTTAAATTGAATTGTCATATAAGCCATAGTTGTGTTAATGCATATTGTAATGTATTAACGAAATGAGTGTTGGTTCCATATAAATGTTAAATATCTTCTCAAAAAGTAATATTTCTTTTTATTTCTCGTAAATTTATATTTCTACCAGATATTGAAAATTCAATCAACAGATAAAAAACAGGGGGGGTGAATTTAGTTAACATGAAATTAAAGGTTACAGTTCTTAAAAAATTAGAAATGTGCAATTCATTAAAAAAAGAAAAAACTATACTCGGCGATAAGAAGTAGAATAGAGATAAGAAGTTCCGTTTAACACTCCTGTCCATAAGGCATTCTGTTTTTATAAATTTACATCTTTCAAAGTTAGAAAGCTTTGGAATAATTAAGAAATCTTTAAGGATGGTGCTTAGTCCAACTAGATTCCTATAAAACCGGCTGTCTTGGTAGTCAGCAATTTTTTTCTATATGTTGTATTAATGAAATATCTTATTTTTTTAGGAGAAACATTTTCAGTCTTGTGGTTTTAAGTTTACCGAAAGAATAGAAGAAAGTTATAATTATCGAACCGTACTTCATAAGTGCTGTGAAGATATATGCAATAAACTTGGATATGATTATATGTGCATTACAGACGATGGTTATTTTGAAGAAAATATAAAGGCTGTTTTGAAAATGGTTAACAATATACCTCACAGGTGTGAAAAAGATATTGAAATTGATGCATCAAGTTATGAAAAGGATGTTGAGTGTGATACATCAACAGTGACCTCTCAGCTTACCGATGTGTTAAAAGATGTTACAAGAATAAAAGTTGAATCAATATCAGACCAAAAAACAAATAAAGAAAGTGATGATTTGAAAAAAGTGGACTCATTGAAAAAAGAAATTGATTCATCATCAAAACAAAAAACTGGTGATAAAAGTGATGATAAATGTAATTTAAAAAAGATTCCAGGAAAGGAAGCTAAATCACCAACTAAGCAAAAATCAAATGATAAAAGTAATGTCAGCCTAGAAATAAAAAATGAACCAAAAATAAAAGTGGAATCACCAACAAATTTGAAAATAAATGACAAAAAAAAGGATACTTTAAAAATGAATATGTCTGAAACGCGAGTTGAATCTTTGTCAAAAGAGGAAGCAAATAGAAGTAATGACCTGAAAAAGAAATGTGTTAGTTCTGACAGTAATGAAAATGAAAAGTCAAATGATGAAAAAAAAGCTTTGGATAAAACCAAAAAGCAAGGTGTAACAGCTTTCTCGGCTAGCAAAATAGCACCATTTTCACTTTTTAGTTTTGGGGCTAACAAAAAAGGAAAGAATTCTAGTCAAAAAAAGAACAAATCAAAACCTAAAGCTAAAGTGCCCAAATCTGGAGATCATCAGGACGATGATGATGGCATTGAGATCATTTTTGAAAGTAATCCCAAACCAGCAAGTGGGCAAGGTTCTGCCACTGGGGGGAAAAAGAGTTCATTGGATAAAATTCCTCCAAAAGCTTCAAATTCAAATGTGAAAACACAAGAGAATCAGCCTGCTGCTAAAAAGATAGAAAGTAAAGATCTTGGAAAAAAAATAAAGATTGAAGATGTGTCTAGTAGTAAAGAAAATTCTGTTGCGCTTCCCAAAAATCAAAGTGATACACAGTTAAGAGACAAAATATGTGATAGCGAAAAACAAAAGAACGACTTGGCTCTGAATGAATCTAAAAAACTTGATACTAAAATAAAGGCAGAGGTTTCTCCCATAAAACAGAAATCTACTCTTTTTACAGAAGGGCAAAAAATTCCAGTTCTTGAAGAACCAGTACTTACACCATTCAAAAGAAAAAATGCACAAAATAAAAATGTTAGGTCTCAGACAAATATATCCAATCTTAAAGTTTTGAAGGAAGCAGAGGCAGTTGCTGTCACTATACAAACTTCACCTAGAGTAGCAGAAAATGTAAGTAATAATTTTAGTGTAACAGAATTTGGTGAGTCCAATAAAATGTCTGAAAGTGTGCTGATTAATGAATCAAAAAGCAGCTTAACATCTAGTGAAATAAAAGAAAATGCAATTCAAACTTCCATCTTTGCAACTGAGAATGAAGATACCAATATAAGTGAAGCAGCGTATGATGAGCTAACAGATCAAGATGTTAGTCAACAGTCTGACTGTAATGTTGCTCTTGATGATTCCCAATCTTCAAAAAACGATAATGATAAATCTGCGGCTGAACAAAAATCTCCAGCTAAAAAAAAGTGTTGTCAGCATAAACATCAACATCATCATAAAACTGTGCACTCTAAATATTGTATAAAACGTATGTATCTTAACTTTCTATGTATTTTTTGTTTTAATTCTGTTTATTTGGGTATTTATTATAATGTGATATATATTAAAAGTTATTGCAAACTTAATTTTCTTAATTTTAATAAAACTATTACAATTTTGAATCAATATTTAATATAATTGGCCTTGTTTTAATTACCGTTTTTGACCTTTACATTTTATTTAAGATGTAGCATTGCTGTTAATTAATTTTTTACGAAATAACCATAAAACTGTTATGTGCACCAATTTTTAATTTTCTGTTCTATGTTTTACAATTTCACTAAAAAAATTCACATTACTTTAACTTTCTCAAATGATAAAGTTTTATGCAAAGATTTATGTTGCTTGAGCTGTTATCTTAATATTTTTTTTAATATAAATTTTATGTACAAATTTTTAAAAAAGTTATGACAATTTCCATTTCTCTGCATTATAAGTTAGTAGATGTGCTCAAGAATAATTTCCGAGAGGATTAGATTGAAATATTGAAGTTTGAAGAATCTTGAGAAGTACTTAACTTTCTAGAATCCAAAATATATATGGGTGTGAGAACTTGAGCTTGTTGATTTGACCAATATAAATTCTTTGATGGACTTTGGAAAATATAACCAAATTATTTCAATGATAACTTCTAGAATAAATAAACTAGAGTTAAATAGGATATTCTAAAAAAAATGAATTTCAACCTAAAACGGGAGTACACTGCACATCAGTTAGAGCCCCTACAAAACAACTTATGTTTTATGTCGCCTATGCCTTCTCTGAGCAATTTTTGTAGAAGTCCGTATGAAAATCTTTTATTAAAAAGATGTAATTTTATATGAAGAGTTATGGAAAATGAATTAGAACTAGAACAAAATTGAATTAGAACAAAAATATGAAGAGTTATGGAAAAGGAAGCACTATACTGAGCCGTCACTGTTATTGAAAAATTGTCTAGATAATGTAAATTGTAAAAGAACAAAAATTAATTAGTTTTTTTTTTTTTTTAATTTATAAAAATCTTAACCCTAGCAACTAAATAAATATCCTGCATTGACTAAATATTTTGTAGTAAAACTTCTAGACCTTGTTTGCATTACTTATGAAAAAAAAAACATAAAAAACTTAGAGGACTAACTGGGCAGCAATGGAATTTATACTGAGGTTTTTCATGCAATCTAGAAAATTTTGAATAAAAGATTTTTGAATTTTAGATTTCTATATCATACCCACTTTGTGACAAAATTACAAAAGCAAGACCTTGTTAGCTACTAAATGTATAAAAATTATTGGCTAGGGCAATGAGATTTTCTGTGTTTTTAAAAGGATAATGTTGAATACACAAGCTTAAAAAAGAAATTTGTAAAGTTTTGAGTGCGATTGATTAAGATAAAAAAAACTATTGTTTAATCAGTGACCATTATAAATCATAATTCAAATCTGTTGCATAATCGCAATATTAGTTTTAAAAAATAATAGCAATACTAGTTCTGAAAGTAATTTACAGATTGCATGCATTTATTAAAATTTATATTATAGTAGCATGTTTACTTTAAATTTAAGATTAGTTTTTTTCTTTTTCTACTTACTGCCAACTGTTATTTATGTATAAAATTTATTGTAACCCCAAGAGTAAGGATTTTATACTCAACTAAAAGAATCAATGTCCGAACAAATTAGAGAACTCTTAAAAGGTTTTGAAATTTCTGTAAAACTTTAATTTGTGTGTAAGTTGGTGCCTGTTATAATCAAGTATGCTTTTGAGACAAATTTTATATTTTTCTCTTGTGTTCATTAAATGTAAATCTGTACTAATATGTCTATTTGTGTTTTATATTAATTACTTTCTAAATCTATCATATTTTAAGTAACATTTTGTAATATTTTTCAGGAATTATTAGTCGCTCAAAAATATCTAAAGAAGCGTCTGAAAGTAGTATAGATAAGGAGCTTATTTCTTCAAAAGATTTAGCTGAAATATCAACTAGTGATGACTCAAAACAAATGGTAACTCAGAAATCTGCTGATGTTGCTGATTCTAAAAGTAAAATCCGTACATCAAAATCTCCAGAAAGGAAATTTACTCGAATTTCTTCTGAAAGAAGGTCACGTAGTCCAACAAACCGCTACAAAAGTCCTCTCAGAATATATTCTCCTATTTCAGTTTCTCGCTATGCGAAAAGTCACGGTAGGAGCCGTTCAATATCCCCTCGAAAGCGTTCTCGAAGTCCGATTAGAAGACGTTCAAAGAGTCCTTTAAGGAGATATTCCAGAAGCCCTATAAGAAGATATTCCAGAAGTCCAATAAGGAGACAGTCGAGGAGCCCAATAAGACGGCAAAACAGAAGTCCCATAAGGAGAAGATCTAGAAGTCCTTTCAGAAAACAATCAAGGAGCCCAATTAGAAGACGTTCTCGTAGTCCTTTTAGAAGGCAAGTGAGAAGTCCCATTCGAAAACGGTCCATAAGTCCATTTAGAAAACGTTCAAGAAGTCCTTTTAGTAAATTTTCTAGAAGTCCTTTAAGAAAACATTCAAGAAGCCCTTTACGTCTGAGCTCCAGAAGGCAATCAAGAAGTCCTATTCGTAGATTCAGCCCTGTAAGACGATCTGTATATTCTCCTAAAAGGGCTCGCTCGAGAAGCATGGACAGGATCCAAGCAATTCATAACCCTCAAGATCGTAACCTTCCAAGAAAGCGATCTAGAAGTTCAAGTCCATCACGTAAATTACCTCGCCGATATGACCTCACTAAGAATGTTTCTCCTGATCCATATACAAGAACTTCTTCAAAACATCATGGTCACAAAAATTCTGAAACTAGTAGATCAGCTGATTTAGATCCAGTTAGTGATGAAGATGAATCTATTTATTTTAATACTTCTGAAAAGCCACAACATATTGAAGAAATTATGAAATTACCTGAACCTACTCGCTCAGTTATATCAGAAATGTTTAAAAAGTTTTTATCTACATCGAATGTCAATCCAAAAGATTCGTCATTATTAAAATTCATGCAATTTATGAATGCACATAGTGGTCAGGTGCAAGAAATCATGAGTTCTCCTGGTACTTCAACTTTCAACAATCCAATTTCTCAGAAAAAAAATATTATACCTCATTTAGGATCAGCTCTTCGACCTCAGTTACCACCAAATTTATCAGGCAATCAACAGTATAATGCCATCATTTCAAATCCTCAAAACCCTTTGCTAGCACAAAATATACTTTCTCAATCTGTTTCACCTTTTATCCAACCCCAGATATTTCCTGGTGCTGTACCAAATACACATCCTATGCTCAACCAATTCCAACAAGGTAACTTAAATGTTTTTCCTCCAAGTTCTAACCCCGTACCAAATCAGAATCCATTTCAGCAACAGAATCCTACTCTATCCTCGCAATATGTTGCTCCTGGACTTATGATTCAAAATTTGAAAAATACTGTCCATAAACTATTTGGTAGCAATGAAAACAAATTTGTAGGAGAATCCCAAACAAAAAATATTTTACCCAGAAATAATCTTCCCAGCCAATTAAATAGTGGTATTTCATCAATGTCAGCTATTTCAAAACCTCAACCTGGAAGTGGTAATTGGAATTTACTTCATAATAGTTCAAAATCAAATGTTGTCCCACATGCAAATACTTTTGCTGAGCCTGTTAAAAGTGCTTCATTTCAAGATAAGTTTGATAACAATTCCACTATGGGTAGAGATAGATCCTTTCAGAGGAATGAGCCATTTGGCACAAATAATGTAATAAATCCTGGTAATCAGCCAGGCATACCAGTACCACCTCCTGATGCTAGGGTATCATTTTGCAATGTGCCCTCATCCTCTTCTAATAAAAATTTGTTTCCTGTGGTGAGTAATGCTAATACAATGCCTAATTTTAATTCTAAAACCACTCAAGCAAATGTATCTGACGTTAAAAAGTCCTTAGCCCAGCGTCTGGCTGCAGTTCTAGTGAAAGTGGGAATGGTCGATGTTCCTGCTCCTTTGTTGCAGGAAATGTTGATGAAGATTGGAGCATTCAGCTCATGTCCCCCTCAAGATATCACAGAGGGAGAAATATTGAACATTTTAAGAAGATTAGGATATGTATGAACAATTGAAAATAATTTGGAACATTTAACTTAGTGACTTTTTTACTGTATTAGCAGTCCTTCATGCATCAAACAAGATACTTGTACTTTAATTTTATCCACTATTATTTATTGTTGTAAAAGTAACAATTAGCATTTTAATTGTGTACAATATAACTTTTGTAATTTACTGATGTCACAATGGATAATTTTATAGATAAATGCTTCAGTACATCATTATCTATCCACTACATGAAAAGTGAGTTCATGTGTTTTTATTTTATTGTTGACTTTTGAGCCAACATATGTTATGGAAAAGCAAACGTACTATTTTCAAATAATTTTGTTTGTGGGACATTCAATTTAGCGACTAACTTTTAAGATGTATGAAATTTTTCTTGTATCATCTAAGCTAAACATGGATGTTTATATTTAATTTTAACTACTATTATTTATTGTAAAAATATCTTATATTCTAATTCTGTACAATAGTACCTTTGTAATTCGCTACTGTCAAAGTAGAATGTTGCCACTACTTAAAACTTAATTCATTCATTTTATTATTAATTTTTTTTCTCCTTTTTTTTAGTGAGTATTAAGCCTATATTAAGCAAATGCTATAATAATAGTTTAAAACTATTTAGTAAGTCCTTAAAGGAAAAAACTTGGATTTGTTCACATTATTACATTTAATTTAATGTTATTAATAATTGTGATTATTGTAGCAATTTATTTTATTGATTTAGATTTTATCCTGTTACATTTTTCTATTGAATGCTTCAATTTTGCACAACCTTACTTTCTATACAGGGTGACATATTTAGTTGCTTGTTAACAATAATAATGTATTTGTTGTACATAATATTTCACCCAAAGAAAATTTTTCATGTTTTTGTCTACGAATAGTGTATATTTTTTATTTTACATTTTAATCCTTACTTTTTTATTATTTGACAAACTTAATAAACTAAATGTGCCAGTGTTGCCAACTAAAATAGAGGAGAGAGGGGCTAAGATGTAAATTGCAATTCAACTTGTAATTTATTATGCTAGTGTAAACCTTGAGGGCTAATACAGTTTCAGTAGTAGCATTTCCCTGAGAGAAATGGCAGTAGATTTTACAATTTCTCACCAGGAAATTCTTTCAATCATCTAAAAGTTTGGTTCTATGAAGCATTAAAATGTGCTAAAGCACTTTCAACCATTGAGTAAAATGGGTACTAAATATTACATTTATGTGCTTAAATATTTTTTTAAATAATTTGTATGACAGTTCAGACAAAGCTAAACCATTTGTCTCTTACAATTAAACACTTTTAGATTTTTTTTTTTCTCAAGAAATTAAGAGTTAAAATTTTAATTTTTCCCTCACAAAATGTCACAAAACATTTTAGAAAATAAAAACTCATGTACTAATATATACACTCAAAGTGAATTAACAAGATATACTTAATATAAGATAAAAGACTTTGTTTATTCTGTTGATTCATTTAAATCTCAATACGATGCCAACTTACCCCCGATACAAATAATATATGTTGGCATATCTGTAATAGTTTGTTTTAATAAGAAGTTTAAAATTTTCAAATCATTACAGTTATATGTATGTTTTACTTTTTCCCCCATCATTAATTATACTTGATGTACATATTGTATAAAAATCAAGGGCTAAAAGCATTGCCTGCTAGCCCCTTTTTCAATTATAGTAATCTAAGAGCTAGACTAAGCGTACTTTAATGATGATTATATTATATTTCATCAACTCAAAAGAGTTATTGAAGTGTCGTTTTTGTTGTCTAATGGTATACTTTGAACAATAGCATTATGACTATCCTTTAGGTTTTTTTTTTTTCAATTGTAGCTTTGAAATGCTTCCTTTTATTTATTTTTATAAAATTATTTCTTTGTTTTCTTTAAACTGTCAATAACATAGTTAGAATAGTTTTTGAAAACTCTTATACTTAGTTCTCGAAAGATTTCTGCTCTGTATTATATGTTTAAGTTAAGAGATTGTTGCTTTTTGCAGAAAAAAGAAGAAAGTATTTCTGAGATTTAGCAATACCTTTTTACCTTTACTCATGCATGTTATGGAAAAATTGTGTACGCACTCTGTACAGACACCTCAGAAATGAGCATGCACATTTATTTCAAAATGCATCTACTTGGCTATCGCAAAATAAGTTCTCTGTACATTCGCTGTCAGTAACGATAGAGGCGTATCTTGTGATTGCCAGACAATACATAAATGTGAGGAAATGAAACATGATATTGCTTTATCTCTATTTATTATCCCTATATTTTCCATGTTTATTCATTTCTTTGTTTCGAGATACTGTGACTTTTTGTAACTTTTTTCCCGCTTGACATGTATTTTTGAATTTATTATGTTTCACTATGTAATTGAAATAAAGTTAATCATTTTTTTTTCCTTTTCTTTTATATCTTTATTTAATAAAGCAAAGCATACCTGCATTATAAGCTCACAATTGCCCATTTTGGATAAGTGCGTTCTTTGAGGTTATGTCTTTGCAATTTCGTGACCAGACATGGTTGGTTATAAGTCAACACTGCGCACAAACCGACTTTACTTCACTGGCAAGTAAGTACCCACCGAATTGGAGCTAGGTGGGCTTCAAGCTACCACTAAAGATCATACCCCAGTCTTTTTCCTGTACCAGTCCAGTGTCTTCAATAAAAAAATTATTTGTGGGTGTTTTTATAAGATTTTCTAAAGATTTTTATTGCATGTAACGCTTTTTTTTTCCGACTCTGAAATGAATGGAATTTAAATCGTACGACTTATGTTTATTTTAAGGCGCTGGTAATTCCCTTTTTAAATGTATTTTTCTTTTAGTTGGTGTATTTATTCTCAAAAATATGGCGCTATTTCTAACATGATGAATATTTGTTATTAATGTTGCAGTAAGTTTTCAACATGATTACATTAAAGGGTCACTGATCCTGATCGCCATGGCTAAACAAAATTGCAGCTAGCACCTAATATTTTAGTATGTTTTAACCTGTTTCTTATACCCGAATCGAACTTCTCGTGCCGGCCGTCCTGCTACCAAAGCAGGGGAGTCATATCCTCTGCATGGGATCAAAATTGTGATGTCATATCTTCTGATCATCCTCAAGGATGTTTCCTCCTTATTCTAAAAACTCATTTTGTAGCTCGCGTGCGTGACATTAACTACTACTACTAAATCCGAAAATCATAATATTTTCATTAGAAAAAATGAATAGTGATTACTCAGATGGCGGAATTGTTTACATTGGATTCCGTCTTTTTTTTTTTTAAGATTAAAATTTTTTATATGCATTCGAAAAAATAGTGGATACAGAAGAAAAGCTTTGTTACACGTCTAAATATAAGTTCCAAATCGTGAGCTGATTTCATGCAATGGTTGAGCTACAAAGAAAGAATAGAAAGTAACGTAATGTTATGCGCAAAAAAAAAAAAAAAAAAAAAAAAAAAAAAAAAAAAAAAAAAAAAAAANAAAAACGGACCACCCTGATTGACCCTTTTGATTTAATAACCGGAGCTTTTCGTTCTACGGCTCAATCTTAATGATTTGAGGGAGTGACTTAAATAGGCTAATAAGTGCAGACGTATTTTAAATTACACAATCAGATACAAAAACGTACTTTTTCTGAATAAACATACTTTTTTTGCAGCCGTAATCTGGGAAATATGGTTCCAATAGTTTGAGCGGTTTAAGGTTTGGACCCCTTAATGTTAGTTTTGCCCTATCTCGCAAACTTTTTAAGTGAACTGAAAAATTTTGCACACAATTATAAAATTCGAAGATAATTCCATGCGAAAAATTAATTTTAGTAAATATTTATTATTTTATTTAATAATAGTCGAAAAAAATTTTGAATTGTCGGATATGCAAAATTTAATATCATTTTAAAGAGTGGAATTTTACATAGCAAAATAAAAAATTTGAACAAAATCGGTCGAATAGTTCCTGAGAAATCAAATTTGGAAAAAAAGATCCTTATTTAGAATTCAATTTTTCAAGACTTATTCGACTGATTTCGTTTGAATTTTGCCATGTAAAAATGATATAAAAATTTGTGTACTTTACAATTCAAAAATTTTTCGACTATTATTAAACAAAATAGTAAATATTTACTAAAATTTTTTTTAGTATCGAATTACCTTCGGTTAAACGAATTTTATAATTCTGTACAAAAATTTTTCAATTTGCTTAAAAAGTTTGCGATATATGATGAAATACGCAAAAAGTCAGCTTAGAAAACCTTATCCATAGAAATCAGAATTGCACACGTTTTTGAATTCATTCTGAATAATATCTTGTGTCTCTATGCTGAATATGCAAGTTAAGTTTTAGAAACAATGTCGTTTAACAAACATAAAATGATGCTAAGGACATAGAGACCAAGTGCTGCTTTTGCAAATTTCAAAGTGCGAGTTTCACTTGTTAACTTGTTTCCAATTTAGAAGAAGAAAAAATAGACCTAATATATTCCTTAACCTTTTGGTGACAACTGTTGTACCCTAAGTCTTTTTTTATATAAAAGTATTTGATATGTGAAGGACAAATGTTAATTTTTTACGATACCATATTTGTTTTGTCTTCAACGTAACATTTGCCTTTGATATCAAATACTTCAATAACAAAAAAGAAAAACTGGTTACAACTGTTGTACCAGCCATTTCTGAAAGGTTAACTAACAATTTTCTGTATTCAACGTTACAAACATGAAAGTCTGTGATAATTAGTGAGCTTTGTAGTTTCACTCTTAATTTTTAAAACTAATGTAGTATTTATAGATCTTATGAAAAAGACTTAATTTTTTGTTTTCTTATTAGTGTCTATTACATTTTCTAATGTTAAATTTGTATTTAATAAATTATGAATTGCGTGTATCCTATTTTAAACATAGTATCCTACTGAAATTTATATTTTGGAGAAAAAGTAAATACTTGATCAACTTTTGAACATTGCTGTATCGGTGTATATTCATTCTAGTAGCATGACTACTTGAGACCATAGTTTAAATGGGAGATTTTTAAAATCAAACCTCTGAGATATGTATTTGCTTATTTCTATTTCTAAAAATGAAGTTTTAATTTATTTTTGTAAAAAGCAACAGTATGAATTTCAGCTTATAGATTTATTTTTAATAGCAATCAATACTAATCAAAATACCTTACACATGTTGTGAAGTATTTGAACTTGCACATGTATGTAATTTTTGAGCATTTTAAAGCATTTTGAGTTTAAAGAGCAATTTTACCTCATAATTTAAAGGAAAAAAAACTATTTTAAGCCTGAGAAAATTTTGTTAACAACAATATTGTGATTAACCACTTTTTCAACTGGACAAGCATAATTTATCGCCTGTCGAAATTTCGACTTTCTGACATTAACTAATACAACGTTAAAATAAAATTTTAAAAATAATTTTTTTTTTTTTTTTTTTACCTGAACTTTTTTGGCCTAACCTGCCAGTTTTAAATAACTTAGATCAAGATGAAGTATTTATCTACACATTATAATTATTCTTTTCGGTATAGCGTGCAGACTTTTTATATTTTACACCAGTGTAATATGATCAATTATCATTTCTATTTACAGTTTTGAAGATTTGTTTGATATTTGCTCAGTTGAAATAGAGTTTATGACGAAGTTTTAATGTAAGTATAATTGAGTAAGTATCTTGTTAAAAAGCATGATAATTTAGCGACGAAATATTTATATACAATACCATTATTCTTCTAAGTTGCTGATCAAATTTTTAGTCGAGACAACGGGTGTTTTTATTTTATTTTATGACGTTGCAAAGTTAACTGTTTAACAACCTAACTGTCAAAACGTAAATATGTATCTAACGGCCCATTCCTGTTCAACTTCAAAGGAAGTTGCTTTGCACATCTGTGTTAGGGAGTGAAATTTCAACTTCCTCGCACAGGTAAACAAAATAGATATGGAATCTGTTGAATCTCTATCCTGGCTGCTAAAATTGAGGTGAATGTTTGCCTCGAAAACTAGACAATTAAGAAGAGAGATAATCATTTTCATCATTACTTCTTAAATTCTAGGAAACATTTTTTTTCAATTTAGCAGGAAAGTGGCCTTTGCCAAATAACAATCTCGATATTCACCTGACAATGGCCTTTCCTTTCAAAATTTTAGCCCAATTCTTATACTTTACGTTACCTTCATTTTGGTCAGTGGTGTAGCAGGAGTCGCGATGGCTCAGGGGATAGAGCGCTTGTCCCCAAATGAGGTTACCCAGGTTCTTGCCAACCAAGGTGCTAACATTAAATATCCTCAGTGATAGATAAATTGTGAATTTGAATCTCCTTTTTGTCGAGTTAATCGTGGAAGGATTTTTACCATTTTCCCAAAAAATTGCGTTTAATTTAATTATAATGCACAACATGGATATAAAATTTTTTGATACTTTTTAGTTAGCCGGGCGAAATGAAATTCAACTATTTTTTTTTTCTTTGTTATATTTTATTTAACACTAAACATACCAACACTTAATCTATACCTATTTCTACCATAGCCGGTCAAATAACCGAGCTTTATGTTTCTTGATTGAATGTCTGAAATACGGATGTTAGGAAGGAAATAAACTAAAAAAAAACTTTATTATAATGAAGCAAAATTGTATGTTGCCAATTTTTATGTATTACAAGCACACCGAATAAGAATTTTTAATTCATTGCTAAACGCATTTTTTACATATACAGGATGTTTCCATTGTACATTTTCCGCGAACATATTTCTTCTAATTATTATTATTTTTGTAATTATAAGAATTATAATTATACTTATATTT